CGGGCGCCCGAGTTTGCAGTTTGCGCTTGACTTTGGGCACCCGGGCTCGCGCGCCCGAGTTTGGGCACCGGGGGTTGGGCACCCCGAGTTTGGGCATGGCTCGGGCTCCCGCTGATTTGGGCTCTCGCCGATTGCGGGCAAGCGCGCTTGGCCACCCTGATTTTGGGCACCCCCGCTTGGGCGCCTGATTTTGGGCACCCCAGTTTGGGCGCCCGGGTTTGGGCGCCCCGAGTTTGGGCACCCCGAGTTTGGGCACCCCGAGTTTGGGCACCCTGGTCGAGCCAAGGTGCCCGAACTTGCCCAAACGAAGGCGCGGGTGCCCAAGCCATTTTGCTGCTTTGCGCCTCGATCAGGTCAGGCTGCGAAGCCGCTCTTTCGCTTCTCCTGCTGGCCAGCAGGAGAAGCGAAAGAGCGGCTTCGAGCGCAGGTGCGGGGGCCAAGGTGCCCGAGACGAGGTGCCCGAGTCAAGGCGAGCCAAGGAGATATCCGAGCCAAAGTGCTTAAAACCGAGATGGTCGACCAGAGGAGCCCGAGCCGAGGCGCCGAAGCCGAAATGCTTGAGAAAAAAACCCGACTTTTGCCACAACCCAAGCCACTGGAACCCGCCTCGGAAATGGGCGAGGGCTCGCAGGCAGCCTGCGGGCCGGATTCCGGGTTCGGGGCTGGGGGCTGGGCTATTTGGTCTGTGCTTAGGCAGGAAAATGAAAGTGAGCAGCGCAAATGGAAGGCGTTGCTTTTTTTCGCGCGGCCAGCCAAGCTAGCTCACCCCTGCTGCTGCAAAGCCAGCAACTTCTCCTCGTGCTGCGCTCTTCTGCCCTCTCAGAGCCCAATTTCATAGCGGCCAACCAAGCTATAGCTCACCCCTGCTGCTGCAAAGCCAGCAACTTCTCCTCGTGCTGCGCTCTTCTGCCCTCGGCCAGCCCAATTTCGTAGCGGAGGCGGTCTAAGAAGTCCGCCTTCCTGGGCGAGAGCAGCTTTCTTAATGGAAAATGCTGCAAGGGGAGTCCTAAGGGGAGTGCAAAAAAACACCCGCGGAACCGCGGAACTGGGCAGTCGAGATGCTCGCGCCGACTCTGCCCAGCTGCGAAATGAGCGGAGCCAAGAAATGCATTCCAGCCTACGCTGCTCGCAAGGTGCACCAAAACTGCTTCAAGAGCAGCCCCAACGCACGGTACAGACATTGCGTTGCCCGTGGCCACGAGGATTTCCTGCTGCGCGCCAAGTGCTTCTGACAATATCGGACAATCGCCCAACGCCAATCAAGTGCAACACGCATGGGTGGCAACGCGCCTTCTTGGTTAAGTGCCGGGCATAAGGATCGCAAGGGAAACCTTGCAGCGACAGGCGCTCCAAAGGATGCAGTGCTCTTGAGAAGGATGTGGAACCGTCCTCAGCTGCCCAAACCGCGAAGCAAGAGTCCGCGCTCCAGCGCGCGCGCAGGCCAACATGAAAACCTAGCCATGGGGCTGGGTGCAACCAAGCGAGCCAGCAGAGCTCATTACCGGTTCGCAGGGTGCAGCAGAGTCCGTCTTGGCGTGCGGTGCCGAATTTCTTGAGCGGGTCCCGGTCTGCGGCAACGCAGACAGGGTTTGTCCAAGCACCCTTTCTGCGAATGCGATGCAGAGCGAGTTCCAAGTTGAGTTGCTGTTGCAATGTGAGAGAGCGCTCCCTGTGCGTTGGCATGCCGGGATGCAGCACCCTCGCCCAAGACTGGCGCATGCCGGGCATGGCTGGCGACATTGGAACTGGCAACGCTGTGTGCTGCTTGTGTATGCCAAGCGTGTAGATTCGTTCACGATGCTGCGGCAGATAATCCTGCGTCGGCAAAATGAAGCTTGAAAGGAGATACATTGGAGCATCCCGCGCCATGCGAAACAACCAAGTCTTGTAAGCGCTCAGCTCTTCCCCGCGCTGAGTATGGTCATGGCCAAGAACCATCTCTGTGATGAAGAAGGCCATGCCCAAGCTGCCTTGGAACACGATGATCTCGTGAACTTTCTCGAAAACGGCATGCCTTTCGTCACTGCTGCCTCGGCGAGCCCCGATGCTGCTCCACGGTGGGCATGGCGGCCCACTTACCAAGCCATCTAGCTTGGGCCAGAGACGATGGTCGCATTGCAGAAGATCGCCAGCGCTGCCGAGATTGCAGCGCTGGGCCACGGCAGTTCCCTCGACCTCTTCCAAGGGGCGCCGCAAGCACTCCTCCGTGTCGTAGAAGACCGCGCAATTATAGTCAAAGCCCATTTCCCGTAGGAATACTCCTGGCCCATGCAGCCCTCCACATGGAAAACCCAGGTCTAAAGCTCTTGGAAATCGCGGAAGCCTCGCTTGGAATACCACGTAAAACAGTTTTGCTTTCTAGAATCTGTTTCCCCCAGATAAACTTTATCAGGCAGATATAGCAATTTCAGAAAGTGTGGGCAAGTGGCTGGTTGAAGATCAAGCGCCAGTGCGTGCGCGGGAAGCCCATTGGATCCCAGGGCGGATCACCTCTCTCCCAAGCTGGGAAAGACATGGATATCAGCAAAGTTGGTATCTTGCCTGCGCATCATCTTGCAGCTTCTGTGTGTAACAGTGAAATGAAGGCGCTCCTACATTTCTTCGAAGCACACAGATATTTGAACCTTGCTGCGCAACGAGGGCTGCGGACCCACAGAGGCTCGCGCAAGCAAGCAGAGTTTGGGCACCCTGGCTTTGGGCACCCTGAGTTTGGGCACCCTGAGTTTGGGCACCCTGGGTTTGGGAACCCTGCGTGTCCGCGACAACTCGAAACGCTCTGACTGGAAAGCCCTCGGCCCAGAAAAGCCTGCTAACCCTGCAGCACCAAAGGGGTTGAAGCTATGGCCAAGTAAGCAGAGACCCCGCGAGCCACAAGGTCGGAAACCGCCTCGAAGCACAGCGCCCTCCGCGTCGCCAGCCTCCTGCCCAGGTCAAAAAAACTCATCTGGCAGGCTTCGCGGCTCAGGACTGGGCACGACCGTGTATTGTTTCAGCTTTTGGGTTTGGGAACTGCTTCGTGCTCATGGATGACGGGGCCTGGGGCCCTGTTGGGAATATTAGGCTTTGGGCTTTGGGCTTTCGGCTTCCGGCTGGCGAAGTCACCAAGCCCCAAATGTTCAGGGCTTAAGCGAATCTTTGGATTGCCTCGTGTTTAGGTCATGGCGGGGTTTGCGGGGCTCAAGTTAGGAGAAATGGGCTTTGCAGTTTGCAGCTTTAGGGCATAGGATTTGTATAGCGCTTAGGGTGTAGGATTTCACGGGCTGTCAAGGCCCTGCAAGCTTTCCACTGCGCTACCAAGTTGTAGGCCCGCTGTTTTGCCCCGGGGGAGGGGATGAAAACATAAACCCTATTACGGCCGGCTCGCCTCACTCCAACCGAAGATCTGCGGCACATCGTGGAGCTGGCAGAGCGGCTTAGGTTCTGAGTTTAGGGGGCTTCTTCAGGGATCTTCGCGCGCTGCCAGAGCATATTTTTCCGCGCAGCCCTACAGCATGCCCGGTGACAGGGGGTCGCAGCAGCTCCCTGATAACAGCTGTCTGGACCGAATCGTTCTGGAGGAGAGCGAGACCTCTCCATTTCTGAAGTTATTTCTGAGTCCTATGAGGGTTTAAGGATTAGGAATTAGGGCTTAGGGCTTAGGGCTTAGGTTTTTAGGGATTAAGGCTTAGACTTCAGGGCAAACTCTGCGTTCTGCCACGTGGCCCCAGGATGCCATGATGCGTGGCACAAGACTCTGGACCGTATCGCTCTGGAGGAGAATGAAACCTCTCGATTGCTGAAGTTGTCTCTGAGTCCTATGAGGGTTTAGGGTCTATAGAGTTTAGGAATGTGTAGGACGTAGGGCTTTAAATTGGGTTTAGGATCTATAAGGTTTAGGATTTAGGGCTTAGGGATTAGGGGTTAGGGTTTAGAATTCAGGAGAAAAAAGGTCATGCGAGGTGCGCGTGAGTTTATCACTCGCTGACCGAGTTTAGACACAACAGTGGTGCATCAGCAGACCAGGGTGACAGGTTTAAAGTTTAGGGTCGAGGTTTTAAAGTTTCGACTGGCACACTCGCTCAAGGCAGGCACGAGGGTTGAGCGTCTAAACCGCGGTCAGAAGCTTCTTCTGCAACGGCTCTATAGGGATGTATAGGGGTTGTAAAACGAGTCTAAGGGTTCCAACAGTTCCAACACAGTAGTAGTGTGGAGATAACTGCTGCTTTGCGCAATGCCTTCGAAAGAGCTGCGCGCAGAAAACCTAAAAGCCCTGAGCACTGGTCCTAAACCCCTGCCAGCAACAACCCTTGAATTTTTAAGCTCTAAACCTGAAACCAAATGCCCCTAACCATTATTCCTAGAAGCGCCCGAAAACCCCAAGCATTAACTGCAAGAGCCGCACTGAAGGATTGCGGTTTTCGCGGCTACGTAAACCCTTTTCCCTGGACTCGCAACTGGAGTTTCGGGTTTCGACTCCGTGGACCAACAGCCCAGGCACGATGGAATCATCAACGTCTGCGTCTGTCCATGAAGCCACCTTCGCGGAAGCCCTTAACCTCAAATCCCAAACCTTCTGTGTGAGTCTTGCGCCCCTGGCCCTGCACCGCAAAACCCTAAACCTGAACCCAAAACTTCCTTCCGCAACCCTGAAGCCGACTCAAAATCCTGGCACTTACAGGCTCTGAAGGGCGGGGCTAAGGACACAAGATGATGCCGGCTCTGGAGTTTCATCTCAATGATAATGGCGGCGGCTAGTCTTTGTATTAATATTGTTATTATGTTTATTATTCTTGTGACTATTTATACCACGATTAATATCTGGACTTTTACGGACATAAAAGGATTAGTTTTATGACTATTCTTATTATGGTGTGTATTATGAATGTCCTTATTGTGATCATTATTTCCACTACCATTGCTGTAGTAGGGCTTCTGCAGGGCTCACAGTTCAAGTTCAGGGTGTGGGGTTGCACTCAACGGGGTGCAGGTTCAGGTTTGAGGGCTTTTGCAAACCAGGGTCTATAGGGTTAAGGACGGAGGGGTTGGCAGCCTTGCAGTCATGGCGGCAGCGGCGCAAACTTCGCGTAGGTGACCACCCGGAGCTTGGCTGCGGCCTAGCTGAGCCAAGTCAAATGAGGCTGGGGTCCGAGGTGGCATTTTGGGCTTTCCCGTCTTGCTATAATTCGGCTGGGGTCCTGCGGCATGCCGCAATTTATAGTTAGACATGCGCGCTAGGAGCTGCGTGCTGGCCAGGAACCGGGGAGCTGTGCACGACTCCCTCTTTGAAAAAGAGGCAGTCGCCCGGCTCCAGCCAAACAGAGACCATCTGGTGACGCTGCTGCTCCTCCTTCGTGAGCTGGTAGTAGGTCGGGTGTTCCTTCGCTTTGGCCAGTAACTCTTGGTCGTCATGCGAAGTGGGCGCGACGAGGCACTCTGCGTCTGACAAAGCCATGACGCACTGCAGGCCCCCAGCTCCTCTGCTTGCGCAAATGGACGCATGCTGCTCGCGCAGTGGCTCTTGGCTAGAAAACCTTTCCTCTAACACGAAAAACCCATTAGCAGCCCAGTGTCTGTCAAAATCTATGTGCGGCACCCACGCCGGGGAGCCAGGGGGCTTCAGGCTCGCTGCTTCAGGAAGCAATCTGCAGGCCGTGCCGAAAAAAGCCTCGTAGTAGACGCGCAGTCGTTCTCT